CCTGCACAGGGGGGACTCAATTTATCCATGCTGAGCCCTGTGGCACGCACCCTCTCTTTTGGCTTTCTAGCCTGGCTCTAGCAGGGTCCCCACTCCCTCCATGCCTTGCCCTGCTGAGCCTGATACCCCTCTGCCCTGGGGATGGGTGGAAGCTGCTGGACTGTCCTCCCATTTGGGGGAGGGAAGGGAAGGGAAGTCGGCACAGCAACCCCGGGGGCACCATGGCACCCTGCAGCACCCCGCTGCCCCGCTGGGATCTCACGTGGGCTCTGCTTCCTGCAGCTGCTCAACTGCATCATGGACATGGTAGAGAAGACGCGGCGGTCGCTGACCGTGCTGCGTCGCTGCCAGGAGGCCGACCGCGAGGAGCTCAACCACTGGATCCGCCGCTACAGCGACGCCGAGGACATGAAGAAGGGCGCCAGCCCCGCCGCCCGCCCCCACAACAGCTCCTCCGCCCCCGAGCCACCCCAGTTAGGTATTGATGGCATGGACCTGCCGCTCCCCCATCATGTACCCGGGCATCGTCTCTGTTGGCAGCCTCTGGGTCTCGGGGAAGACAGTGGAGCGGGGTGTAGGGACAAGGGACCCAAGCTCCCGGTGCAGGGAAGGCCTGGGCAGCGCGTTCACAGCCTGTTCCTGCCCTGGGGATGGAGCTTGCTAGCACTTGTCTGGACTCTGCCATGCCTGGAGCATGTGGCATCATTCACCAATTTATCCTGCTCCCATCACAGCCACAGAGTCCGTACTGCATCCAGCGCACAGGGTCCTGGGATCAGGGCCCTGAGGTCCGGCAGCAATGCAGACCAGGCTATGCACTATTTGCAATAATGAAACGCTAATTAATATTCATATTTATGCAAATAGAAGGGATCATATCCTGGTCATGGGGTATTGGCTTGGTGCATCTGAGCGCAGCTGTTTGCCCGGGGGAAGCCGGAGCCCCAGGGATGCCCTGTCTGTCCTTTGGGTGCAGTTGTTCTCAGCGTCCAGCCGTAGCGAGGAGCGGGTCTGGTCTGACCGGCCCTGCTTCCTAACGTGCTCTCCCTGCCTGTCGCTTGCAGACGCTCACCGTGAGTTCGTGCCCAGGCCCCTCTCTGGTTACATGCCCGAGGAGATCTGGAGGAAAGCTGGTGAGTGCGTCACCGCGGGCTGTCCCCATCTCAACCCAGGCAGAGCACTGCTGAGAGCAAACCCTGCCCTGTGCAAAGGGCTAGTGTGAAAGGTGCATGCGTATGCATCTCCCAAAGCCAGGCCCCATAGGACCTCCTTACCAGCACCCCCATAGCCAGGCCGCCGGGTCCCCGTGGGCACCTGGCTGCGGGCTGTCCTACATGCCAGGTGCCGTGCTCTGTGCTCTTGCCTCCAGAAGAAGCCGTGAACGAGGTGAAGCGTCAGGCCATGTCCGAGCTCCAGAAGGCTGTGTCGGACGCCGAGCGCAAGGCCCACGAGCTCATCACCACCGAGCGGGCCAAGATGGAGCGGGCGCTGGCGGAGGCGAAGCGCCAGGCATCAGAGGACGCGCTCACCGTCATCAACCAGCAGGAAGACTCCAGTGA